TTTGTCCAATCGCTATTTTCAATTAAAATATCTAATTTTCTTTGTAGTTTTTTTTGAGTTCATTACAAATTCTTCTGAGTTTATTATGGCAATGATCCAACGTGTTGTGTTTCCATTCTAATTGAATGGCCTGATTAAAAGAGTATTTTTTGTTCCTCAATATTTTGAATGCTTCCTTCTCCTGTATTTTAGTTATTTCAATATGTTTCTAAAGAATAATTTTCATAAAATCATCAAAAGGACGATCTCTCATGTCAAGGAGTCTATTGGGTAAAAGAGACTTGGGCAGAACTGCACTGATCAAGTCCCACAAGTTAAAAATTCGACTTAATTTAAAAAAAAATTGTTTAAATGAACAAGTTCTACCCAAGTCTCTTTTACCCAATAGACTCCTTGACATGAGAGATCGTCCATATGATAATTTTATGAGAATTATTCTTCAGAAACATATTGAAATAATTAAAATACAGGAGAAGGAAGCATTCAAAATATTGAGAAACAAAAAAATACTCTTTTAATCAGACCATTCCATCAGAATGGAAACATAGTATGTTGGATCATAGTTATAATAATATCAGAAGAATTTGTAATGAACTCAAAAACAAACTACAAAGAAAATTAGACATTTTAATTGAAAGTAGCAATTGGACAAAGCATGCTAATAACAATTTTGTAATTAACTTATCGGATGAAATATTAGATAAAAATACAGCAGCTGCTCTAGGTTTTGGCCTAAGTTTTGCAACTTCAAAGAAAACTTAATAATGTTGAAATTGCAAAAGCCTTTTGTAACTCTGAAAAATTTTCTGATTTATCCTCTGATGAAATTAATATTAGTAAAGGAATGGTTAAAACAAAATATTCCCAATTGCCCTCAAAGATTCTTTAAGTCTTATGATACACTTAATAACAATAAAAATTTGTGCCTTACTAAAGCAGATAAAATAAATGCAATAGTAATTTTGAAAGAAATGATTACCAAGAAAAAATGAATAATCTCTTATATGATTCTGAAACCTATTCTAAACTTAGAAAAAAATCCCCTAGAAACCGTTAACAGCAATTTCAATAAAACAATAAAACTTCTACTGAAAGGCAAAGATGAATTAGTCAATCAATTTACTTCCACTAATCCATCTTTACCTTACATGTATGGACTAATACTAATAAAAACACACAAATCAGGAAATCCAGTCAGACCAATTATTAGCTCCATAGGATCAGTTTCATATAAATTATCCAAATGGCTTTTTGACATTTTGAGCCCTATTGTTGGCAAAATTTCTAACTTTAATGTTAAAAGCAACATAGATTTAGTTGATAAATTATTTACAATAATTTAATACTAAACAAACACACACAGTGAAATATATTTTTTTCATTAGGTTCAGAATGATTTTGGCGAAATTATTGCTTACACAAATTTTCACTTGTCCTATATGGCAAGATGAGCGTTGCTATTTAAGCCAAGATCGCAAGTTCTGCCTATTCGGCACGACATATATATATATATATATATATATATATATATATATATATATATATATATATATATATATATATATATATATATATATATATGTCGTCCCGAATATGTAAAACTGGTCAATTAGCAAGAACTCATTTAAAATTAAGTCCTTTCTAAAATTTTCTCTTATACGTTTAAAGATATATTTTTTTCATTAATGTTTATGTAAAAATTTATAATTTTGCACCAAAAGAATCTTAGAAAACTTACCTAACCTTATTATAACAAGCTCAATTTATTTTAGCCTAACCCAATTAAATATATTTTAAATACTTTTACAGTAATTTAATACTAAACAAACACAATGCAATATATTTTTATCGTTAGGTTTAGAATGATTTTTGCGAAATTATTGCATACACAAATTTTAGCTTGTCCTATATGGCAAGATGAGCATTGCTATTTAAGCCAAGATCGCAAGTTCTGCCTATTCGGCACGACAGATACATCCGATCAACTAACAGTGGCATTAAGTAATGGCAATTTCATCTAATGGCGCTATTTGCAGTAGAAAAAATTCCTTAAGCAACGGCGAAAAACTTAACCAATGAAGTTTGTTGAGAACGCATTGATGTGCCCGGAGCACTACATGAGTGGATCCAGCCACTCCAAGAGTCAGTGTGCCATCACTTACAAGCTGTTGCGGTCAATTTCCGCATGTGCCTCCCATATAGTTTGGATTATTCCACTATTTCGAGTGTTTGTAACTACTAAATAAGCTACCAAGGGTCCCAAGAAAGCTTCTAGTGCCAAGCCTGTGTTAAAAAGGGTGAGAATTATGATGGAAATGAAGGAGATCATTGAAAAATACGAGAGTGGACTGCATATGGCTGAGTTGGAAAGGCAATACAACAAATCACATTCAACCATCAGTACTATCTTGGTGAATAGACAGGCAGTCAAGGCAGCTGTTGTTGTGAAAGGTTGAAGTATGTTTTAAAAATGGAGACCACAAATAGTTGAAGAGGTAGAGAGACTGTTATTGGTATGGATAAACGAAAAACAATTATCAGGTGATAGTGTTTCTCAGTCTATAATTTGTGAAACGGCAAGGAAGTTGCATGATGATCTCATTAAGAAAATGCCTCAAAATAGTGCTGCTGCTGATGAATTTAAGGCCAGCAAAGGCTGGTTTGAGAGATTTAAGATTCGTAGTGGCATACACAGTGTGGTAAGGCATGGCGAGGCAGCCAGTTCAGACAAAAATGCGGCTGAAAAATATGTGAAGGACTTTGAGGAATACATAGAGACTGAAAAGCTAAAACCTGAACAAGTGTTTAATTGTGATGAAACAGGCCTGTTTTGGAAGAAAATGCCAAACAAGGCCTACATTACTCAGGAGGAAAAGGCACTCCCAGGACATAAGCCTATGAAAGACAGGCTGATATTAATGTTGTGTAGTAATGCTAGTGGTGATTGCAAAGTGAAGCCTTTATTGGTGTATCACTCTGAAACTCCCAGAGTGTTCAGGAAAAACAATATCTTCAAGGGTAATTTGTGTGTGCTGTGGAGATCAAACAGTAAGGCATGGGTCACCAGGGTATTTTTCTTGGACTGGTTTTATGGTGTGTTTGGCCCCACTGTGACAAAATACCTCCAGGAAAAGGAATTACCACTCAAGTGCCTCCTGGTAATGGACATTGCTCCTGCTCATCCTCACGACTTGCAAGAGGAAATTGCAGGGGAGTTTGGTTTCGTTAAGGTGAAGTTTTTGCCTCCTAATATAACTCCTTTCCTCCAGCCCATGGACCAGCAGGTCATTTCAAACTTCAAAAAACTCTACACAAAAGCAGTGTTTCAAAAGTACTTTGAAGTGACCTCATACACTCAATTGACCCTAAGAGAGTTTTGGAGAGATCACTTCAATATCCTCAGTTGTGTAAACCTTATAGGTAAGGCTTGGGGGGGAGTGACTAAGAGGACCTTGAACTCTGCTTGGAGGAAACTGTGGCCAGAATGTGTAGAACAGAGGGATATTGAAGGATTTAGGGCTAACTCTCAGGAGGCTATGCCAGTAGTGAAAGCTATTGTGTCATTGGGGTAGTCCTTGGGGTTGGAGGTTTGTGACGAGGATGTGGAAGAGTTGGTGCAGAATGACGAGGAAGAGCTAACCACTGCAGACCTGCAAGAACTTCAGGAGCAACACCAACAGATCACATCTCAGGAATGTTCTTCAGAGCAGAATGAAGAGAGACAGAGGAAGATGACTTCATTAAGGATTAGGGAAATGTGTTCAATGTTTACAAAGGTGCAAGCATTTATCAAAGAATTTTATCCTGTCACCGAAGTTACAAGCTGCATTGGTAACATGTACAATGACACTCTTGTGTCCCATTTTAGGGAAATCCTAAGGGCACATGAGAAACAGAGCTCTCTGGACAGCTATTTTGTGTGACAGGGGTCCAGTGACTCTCAAGCTGGTCCTAGTGGCATTAAAAAACCAAGGAGGGAGGTAACCCCACCAAAGGACTTGGTACCCGAAGTCCTTCTGGAAAGGGATTCTCCTTCCAAGCAACAGACGTCGCTCATCAACTACTCCACAATGAAGGTAAGTGGCATTTAATTATTGTTTATTTTGCATGTCTCATTCCTTTCCATATAAGGAAATGTATATTTCATGTAATTTTTTTTTCAGACTTTGGGGTGTCAGGAACGAATTAATTCTATTTCCATTATTTCTTATGGGGAAAATTAACTCGACCAACGGCAAGCCCTCTGGAACAGATTAATGCCGCTGGTTTAGGGTCCACTATATATGTATATATATTGACTGGGATGTTAGCACACTTTTGGTAGGACAGAATGAATGAATATGTTAATTTGTTTCATGTTCCTGGGTCACACTGTCTCTGTGGGATAGAGATGGTGTGTTAAACACAATATATTTACTTAAAAGTGGTACATCACTTAGAAGTCACTCATTTCCTTGGGAATTATTGCAAACACAGGTAAAGAATGGCCTGTGAAACTTGGCCATAATAAGAATGTAGAGCAGATAAAACTCAGCAATAGAATATAACGAATATTTACATTCGCCAGATGATATATACAAATATGTACAGATAGAATAGTAAGTGTACACAACGATGACAGATGGCAAAGCAGAAGGCAGAGAGTGTGCATCATGCTCAACCAACAGTTAGGCAAGTCTGTCAATGCTTACCACACGTGAACCACATTGCTTCTGCTTTGGTAGGCTTGCCTGTGATTGGCCAATAAACCGAGGTGCTGATTTAATGATGGGTACCATATTGATTGTTAAACCCTTAGCACCTGGTTTGCTGGTTGGGAGGCAGCCTATATGGAAGTTTGATTTAAGCTGAATAAATTGTTACATACTCTTTGCATGCCACAGGAATGAAAGGGATGTTAAGAGGCTAGAGCAGAGGAAGAGGGTCAGTCCAGTTATCAAAATCCCCTCCCCAGCATCAAGACTTCAGATTTTAAGAGCACTCTCCTTTCTGTTCAACAGATTAGAGTACAAGTTTCTGCGACAGAGTTTACTGTTGGTGTCATCGTCCTTCGTGTCAATGCTGAGAGACAGACTCATTGCTGATCACCGTGAAAGAACACAGGGGTAAGTTCTATCTTAATTTTGTTTCCTAGTAGTAAAATAAGAAGATAGCTAATAATCCAGGATAACCAAAGAGAGTCAAGCAGAATGGCTTCTGCCTATCAGGGTATTTAAACAATTCCCCAGGATGCCACTGTAGCAGTTGATTAACACCAAGGTACCTATTTACTGAAAGGTGAACAAGAGCAGCTACTATTAGGAAACTTTCTCATACGTCCTACCCTACCGAGCAGGATACTAACAACAGTCAACTAGAAAATTAGACACATTGTATGTTGCAGTGGAACCCCGAGTTTCGGCAGTCTCAGCTTCAGCCACTTCAAGTTTCGAGCGTTTTTTTTTGGCTAAATTTTGTCTCGAGTTTTGCACTGTGACCTGAGTTTCTCCCGGCATACCAGACCTGTCCACCTGCCTGTGCCTGTGCACCTGCCCACGCAGGCTTCGTGAGTCAGTTTGGCTTTGTTTATCCTCGAGTGAACATTACCCTCCGCACTCATCTAAACATTTCACAATGTAATTCATTGTGTTTGCTGCTTGTTGATTGAGTGCAACTGCTACATAATTAACCATGGGCTCAAAGAAACTTCCTAGTACCAGTCCTTTGGTAAAGAATGTGAGAAACACCATAGAATTGAAGAAAGAAATTGTACGAAAATACGAGAGTGATGCGCGTGTGGTGGAGCTTGCCAGGATGTATGGCAAAAACAAATCAACAATCACTTCTATCCTGGCAAAGAGAAAAGAAATCAAGGAAGCTGATGTTGCGAAAAGTGTAGATATGTTAACAAGAAATAGATCACAAACAGTCGAAGATGTTGAGAAGTTGTTGCTGGTGTGGATCAGTGATAAACAGTTAATGGGAGATAGTGTTTTGGAGACAATCATTTGTGAAAAGGCTAGGCAGTTGCATGCAGATCTCGTAAAGAAAATGCTTGGAACAAGTGATGATGTTAGTGAATTTAAGGCCAGCAGAGACTGGTTTGACTGATTTAAGAAGCGTAGTGGAATACATAGGGTTGTAAGGCATCATGAGGCTGCAAGTTCAGACAAAAGTGCAGCTGAAAAATTAGTGAGTGAATTTAAGGGGTGCATAGAGACTGAAAAATTCCAACCCCTACAAGTGTTCATTTGTGACAAAACAGGCCTCTTTTGGAAGAAAATGCCAAAGAGTACTGTTACAACTTTGATGTCCTAACTTAAATAAAATGTTCCTGGCTCCTAAATGCTGCTCACACTGCTGTCTAGGGGTTATAAAATTACTCTGAAAACACAGCGAACCTTGGGCCAGCATGTATTCATATATTAAACAATATTAATTATTATTAGGAAGGAAAAACAGAAACTCACCTATACAAAAATATACATATATTAATAATAGTAATTTACATACAACTTACAAACTACTCCAAAAACCCACCACACTCCAGTTCACATTAGTTCACTAGCACGCTGCTACTAATGAGTTAAACAAAATAAATGAACATTTATGAACAGGGAGGCTCCATGACCCCCCTTTTTGCAGGTTACATAGCCTACAGTGGAAACGTTAAATACTCTCCAAAACACAAGGCCCCTGCATACTAGGGCTTTACAAATTAACATGAGAGCACTTATACACAAACACCTATTGTATACACTAAAAAACATACCAAAATTACCTATTCAAACTACCGCCCAAACATGATGACTTAACCCCGTGATCACCTGTCTGGTACTGAACTGAACACACCTCTGGTGGCCTGGTGGTTAACGCTCTCGCTTCACACGGTGAGGGCCTGGGTTCGATTCCCAGCCAGAGTAGAAACATTGGACGTGTTTCTTTCCACCTGTTGTCTATGTTCCCCATCAGTAAAATGGGTACCTGGGTGTTAGTCGACTGGTGTGGGTCGCATCCTGGGACACTGACCTACGGAGGCCTGGTCACAGACCGGGCCGCGGGGGCGTTGACCCCCGGAACACTCTCCAGATAAACCAGATAAACCTCTCATCTGCTGCTGTCCTGCCCACTGCCTGACTGACAGAAATAAAACGCGTTCACTTACATGGAATAATACACGTCCACTTTCCATATACTACACGGAAAATAACATTGTATATGGAGCGTTATTTTATACAAATATTTTTTTACAGTACTCCATAACAACGACCGACATCACACAGGAGGAAAAGACACTGCCAGGACACAAGCCTATGAAAGACAGGCTAACTCTTTTGTTCTGTGGTAACGCTAGTGGGGATTTTAAAGTGAAGCTTTTACTCGTGTATCACTCTGAAAATCCCAGAGTGTTCAAGAAAAAAATGTCATAAAGAGTAAATTGTGTGTGTGATGCGGAGGGCTAGCAATAAAGCATGGGTCACAAGACAAATTTTCATTGACTGGGTCCATGAAGTGTTTGGCCTCAGTGTGAAAAAATACCTCCAGGAAAATAATTTGCCACTCAAGTGCCTCCTGGTACTAGACAATTCTCCTGCTCATCCTCCAAATTTTGTAGACCTATTATCTAGGGACTTCAGTTTTATAACAGTGAAGTTCTTGCCTCCTAACACCACTCCTCTCATCCAGTCCATGGACTAGCAGGTCATTTCTAACTTCAAGAACTCTACACGAAAGCAGTGTTTGAAAGGTGCTTTGAAGTGACCTCAGACACTGAATTGACCCTAAGAGAGTTCTGGAGGAATCACTTTAATATCTACAACTGCATAAGCCTTATAGGTAAGGCTTGGCAGGGAGTGACTTCCAGGACTTTGAACTCTGCTTAAAGAAAATTGTGGCCAGAATGTGTCCATCAGAGTGATTTTGAAGGGTTTGAGGCTGACCATGACCCTGCATACCCTCTGCCTGTTCTGGAATGTATTGTGGAGGTGAGTGGCGAGGATGTGGAAGAGTTGATGGAGGACCACAGGAAAGAGCTAACCACTGAAGAGCTGCAAGACCTTCATCTGGAGCAGCAACAGGCCATGGCTGAGGAACTTGCTTCAGAGGAGGAGGAAGAGGGAGAGAAGGAGGTGCCTTCTTCAGAGATTAAAGAGATTTGTGCAATGTGCAAGCATTTGCTGAGCAATATCACAATGAGCAAGCTAAAACAAGCCATCTCTGCAACATGTTCAGTTACAAAATCATGTCCCATTTCAGACAAATGCTGAAGAGATACCACAAACAAACCTCTCTGGTCCTCGAGGCATTAAAAGACAAAGAAGGGAAGTAACCCCGGATAAGGACTTGTTATCTAAAGTCCTTATGGAAGGGAATCCCCTTCCAAACAATAAGTCCTCCCTCTCCTCTTCCCTATCTTCCAGATGCCATCAAGAGTCTAATTAAATAGCTTAGCCCATTCTATATATTTTACTGTTGAGTTTGAAGAAAATAACTCATTGCCTTTTCTAGATGTTTTAATTATTAAAGGTAATAATGAATTCAAATTTAAAATTTACAGAAAACCTACAAATAACTGTTCTTAAGTCCACTATTATTCTTCACATCAAGGTAGAGTTAAACTGTCGGTATTCTCATCAATGTTATTGAGAGCTTTACGTATTTGTAGTCCAGAGTTCATAGATGACGAAATATCCAAAATTTATGAAATAGCTAAAGATTTGAAATACACAAGAAATGTAATTGACAAATCTTTTAAAATTCCTAGAAATACTTTTTACAATCCGAAAAGGGACAACCAGCCTTATTCAACTAAAAATATGTTGGTTCTCCCTTACCATGAAAACTTGGTTGATATGCCTTCTCTTCTTAAGACTTTTAATATCAAAGTTGTATTTAAAAATCTTGATACAGTAAAAAAACTTTTGATAAAGAATTCCCCCCAAAATGTCGACGGATGCGTCTATAAGATTCCTTGTAAAATTTGCGATAAAGTTTATTACGGTCAAGCTGGTAAAAGTCTTGAACTATGATTAAAACAACATATATATAGCATTAGAACTGGACAAGATTCCAATGATATATTTATTCACGTGAGAGATTTTAACCATACAATTGATTTTCAAAAAATTGAGAGAGTTGTATCAAGCAAGTCCATGGTCAACAGGAATATAATTGAATCTTGTTTCATAAAAAGCAATTTTGACAGTAATATGAATATTTCCTTTGGTGTATATAAATTAGATCCATTTATAATTAATAGAATTTGGGAAGAATTTAATAATACATTAGACAAATAATAAATTTTAAAATTCTTAATTATTAGGTAGAATAGTTTGTTTGTGGGTTTTGTGAAGGACCTGTCTAGTTGGGCCAGAAGGCCTGCTGCAGTGTTCCCTTTCTTATGAGTCGTGCATCAGGTGTTGCTTTGTTGTGGGATGTGATAGTGATGTGTGGTCTAGACCCTTCATATGCCTTCCTTTGATGCATTACTTGTATTGTTCCTTGATAATGTGAGTAGTCACGAACATGCTTGGAATTTCTCTATTCTTTCACAGTGGTTGTTTTGCATATTCTGAAATCACCTGCTTACTGTGATCGTATTGTGTGTGTGTGTGTTCTTAACAAGTTAAGAAAGCCTAGAGAACAAATGGATTTGTCAGTTAAAAATAGGAGAGGAGAGTTATTAAATGGAGAGTTAGAGGTATTGGGAAGATGGAAGGAATATTTTGAGGAATTGTTAAATGTTGATGAAGATAGGGAAGCTGTGATTTCGTGTATAGGGCAAGGAGGAATAACATCTTGTAGGAGTGAGGAAGAGCCAGTTGTGAGTGTGGGGGAAGTTCGTGAGGCAGTAGGTAAAATGAAAGGGGGTAAGGCAGCCGGGATTGATGGGATAAAGATAGAAATGTTAAAAGCAGGTGGGGATATAGTTTTGGAGTGGTTGGTGCAATTATTAATAAATGTATGGAAGAGGGTAAGGTACCTAGGGATTGGCAGAGAGCATGCATAGTTCCTTTGTATAAAGGCAAAGGGGATAAAAGAGAGTGCAAAAAATTATAGGGGGATAAGTCTGTTGAGTGTCCTGGTAAAGTGTATGGTAGATTTTATAATTGAAAGAATTAAGAGTAAGA